GGTTGCAAGTGAGTCACAGCAGAGTAAGATCATAATTTAGTCATAAATAAATATCTGGAAGAACTGTATTCAGTCCTCTCCACTGCCATCACTTTCTCATGCAGCAGACTTCCTACCCTTGTAGCTTTTTGCCTAGGGAAAATACATAAAGTGTTCGCTCTTTTCAAAGCAGAGCTAGGGCTGGAACATAATCACTTAGGCTCCTGAACTCCCACATCCCCATACCCTCTTTTTAATTGCACCCATGCAAATGACGGACAGTTATCCCTATGCATCCAGACGCCACCAAAGCATGCCTGGGGGAGCCAGTGATCTGAATGAATGTTTTGCTCCTGCCTATCATCCCATTAACAGAAAGTGTTGACATCTCCACACTTGGATCTCCCGGCAGCTGTGCCATAATGTACTTCCCACGCAGAACATTGCCTGCTGGGGTTTTCCTACAATGCTGTATCTTGCTTCACAATCAATATTCTCCTCAGACAGTAGTATGCCTTGCAAGTCCAGAGTAATATCTTGACAGGGCCTTGAACACAGTGTACCCTCCACTTCCTCCCAAGTGAAAGAAAGGAACTAGCCATGGCACAACTCATTTTGACAGAGCAAAGGGAACAGGGAGGCCAACCATGTTGTGTTTTACTACCTTCTGTTTCTTTGCCAGAGACAGGGAAATACTTCCATGGATCAGAGTGTCTCCCTCTCTAGGTATCGGATCACAGCTCTTCCTTCAATTGCCTCCTCCAAAACCTCAGCTTCAGCATGAAAACGTTTCCTGATTTTCCAACAGTTTTACCTTCCTTCTTGCTGCTTCTAGCTATGCGTCTTCTACTACATTCTTACCATTGCTTTAATTAAACCCTACATCAGCCTTCGCCAACATGGTGCCCTCAGTACATTTTTGCATTTAAAGTCCAAGAATTCTTGAAAATTGGGATGTGGGTGCTGAAGTCCAAAACAATGGAGGTTGGGGTAAACTTTCCTACATTGCTTCTTGCCCAAACATGGAAGCACTTCAGCCGGGTAAGTGTGGTGCATATGCAGAATCAAACACGCAATGGATGCTAAATACTAAGAGAAGAGCACTAATCTTCAACAGTAATAGTCTCTCTTGTGTACAGTTAGATGCACGTCCCTTTCTCTTTCTCCAGAGTCACCCAAACAAATCTCGGTCTTTGAAATACAGAACCAGGAAACAATATCTGGATAATTTCCCCTTTATTCCCACCTTGCTGAATCTGTCCCAGATCTCTCCTGAAAACTATTGATTCTGACAGTGAAGATAGAGGAGAGTGTCACACTATCCATAAGCTATTAGTTACTTCAGAAAATTGAGGCTGAAGGTTTAGATTCACAACGGAGCTGATGTAGGTTACAGTGGGCAACTGTACCTTGAGAAAACCCATATAGTGCAACTTGGAATTGTGTGTACTTCTCGGGATGTAGCGTAGGTCCTGGTGAGCAACAATACCTTGAGAAAGTCTTGGCCAGTGTAGAAATGCTAAAGGAGAATTGGAGCTGAGGTTCAACTATGTTTGGGGTGTTGCACAATTCTTATCCTTGCTGTAAAGCCATCAGGGAATTCAATACAGGACTCTCATGCCTCACCTCAGCCCTCTATAACGTACTACAAACACAAGGACAAACAGACTGAGACATAGCTTTTATCCTAGAGCTGTGGCTATTTTGAACTCTATGGTTTTGCTCTGACGTAGTAGCACTGGGGGCTGTGGGGTGGTGGTTGTGGTGTAAAAAAATTGGTGTGTTGTTCAGTGGTATGTGCTGGGAAGGCATTCAATTTTGTTGTGCAATGACAATAAAACCATTCTGTTCTACACACAGCAGTCGTTACCATTTTCACCTATTACTGCCTTAAATCATCAGGTTGATTTATTTCATGTCAAAAGGGTTGTGTATAGAAGTATAAAACTGGTAAAAATAGGGGGTCACAGAAAGAGCCTCCTCAAAAACTGAGTAAATACAGTTGGGCATCCCCTGGGCAACATTTCTTGCAAACAGCTAATCTTTCCAATCCAAAAGCATTGCTTTTACACATTTTAAATAATCAAGTGAGGGATAATGTTAGTAACAATTAGTGGCAGATATAGCACTGGCCCCCAAAAGGGATAATTTTCTTTCCTCTTTCAATAAACACAAAAAAACTCACCCAGAGAGCGATGAGAAGTAAATACACCTCCACTCACACTAATTGATGATGGGAACATGTTATTCTCCCAATGTTGTTGGACAGCAACTCTGAGAAGCCAACGTAATCAGTGGTGAAGAAGGCTAGGAGTTGTGATTCAACCAATCTGGAGGGTTACACATTACTAGACATCTTGACTCCCAAACATTCATCTCCACAGTCCATAGTTTTGGACTTCTCAGCCTGAAATCCCACCAGTGCTGTACTAGAGCCTCATAATGTTGTGCTACTCAAGCTAAACGAGCAACGTGCTTCACAGTTTATGCCAAATCTCTCCACTCCCAGCTAGAGGCTAGAACCCAACATTTAAGCACTGTGGTTGGGAACTGGAAAGCACTGAAGACACCTCTCCCCCTGATATATTGCCCTGACTGGGAGATGGTCCCCCATGAGCGCCAACTCAAAATCACGGTTCCTTATGCAACTCCTAGTAAAGACCTCCAAATTCCTCCCCAAAGTGAGAAAGAAAGTGGAATGTTATCCTGAAATAAGCCATTTTCTTATCATAGTTGCAAGGTAAGATCTATTTGCATTGGCTTAGACCAACTGCATCACATAGCACTTGGTAAAGAGTGAGATTATATCATCCATGGTAAAGTGAGAGAGCATGAGTAGTACATACATTAATCTCACATCCATCTCTCTTTCTCACATACACACACATTCATTCACTTACTCACTCACTCCATCATTGCAGGTGTTGGTGACAGATGAGAGGATTCAGTTCAGCTCAATACCTCCTCAGGACCTAGACAGCTAGTGCTACTATCTTAAGTTACCTTCAAAGGACTACCCTAAAAGAATAGCATTTCCAGCCTATATGCAGTTGTTCACACCAAAACACCACCACCAAAACATCAGATGCAATGTGATCTGTGTGTGGACATTTCTCACTTCAGCAGCTCCATCCATTGCCTAGGTTGTTGCCCTAACACAACCGACACAGCAATTTGGGACAAGAGAGGATTGTGTGAGTTCTCACGAACAAGCAAATCCCTTGAGAAGTGGGAAGAACAACAGGACAGCAAAATTCTGTTTCCATCATTCCTCTCCACCCCACCACCACCAAATCCTCTCACTCTGAGTCCGCGTGTGACCCTGGCCTGTACCAAATGCCCTCAGCTGCTGCCTCAGTGGGCAGCCCGTCCCCTCTCCCCATGTCAAAGGGCAAAGCCATCTCCTCAGCCGGAGTCTCTGAGCTGGCAGTTCTTTGGCCCTGAGCTCTGGCTGTTCTTGTTAGGCAGAAGCCAGAGACCTAAGGGGCACTTGGAAACCGCGTGCGCCGTGCCTGCTGGAGGCATCTGTTCCTCGGAGCAGACGGTGAGACAAAAATAATCCTCCATCTCACCATCTCCATCCGCCTGCCAAGGGTTCCTTGAAAGCCAGGCAGGCAGGAAGGCAGCCACTGACCCAAGTGAGCGGGAGCCAAAAAGGAAAAGGAGACCAGAGGTACGACTTTGCAAGTTTGGAGGGAGAGGACAGGGCTTTAGGAATCAGCTGGGCACACAGCCTTGTGCTTCCATCTGCTTCCCAGGTGAACGCTGGGTGATGCCCCTTGCATTGCTAGTGAGAAAGAAGGGGGGATAGTCAGCAGGGCAGGATGGAGAAGCAAGCAAATGTCAGAGCACTGCCTTGAGGGAAAAGTGGGGGACTCCCCTTGCCTTCAGTGCCAGCAGAGAGTCTGGAAGGGAGAAGCCCCCTTGGAGTTACTACCTGCATTGCAAGGCAGAAATGGAAATGGCAGGAGGCAGTAACAATAGATAGATAGATAGATAGATAGATAGATAGATAGATAGATAGATGACCATACAGCTCAAAAAAGGGAGCTCTTGGTGGTGCAATGGGTTAAACCACTGAGGTGCTAAACTTGTTGACCAAAAAGTCACAGGCTCGAATCTGGGGAGCAGTGTGAGCTTCTGCTGTTAGCCCCAGCTTCTGCCAACCTAGCAATTTGAAAACATGCAAATGTGAATAGATTTATATGTACTGCTCTGGCAGGAAGGTGAGAAATGTCCACACACAGATCACATTGCATCACTCTATGCAGTCATGCTGGCCACATGACCTTGGAGGTGGCCATGGACAACGCCGGCTCGCCGGCTTAGAAATGGAGATGACCCCCAAAGTTGGACACGACTGGATTTAATGTCAGGGGAAAACCTTTACCTTGACCTACAGTTCAAAAAACTTGCAACAACCCTGTGATTCTGGCCATGAAAGCCTTCAACGATACATGGATTGATAGATATTGAAGCACCAAAAGGGAGGGGGGAGCCCCAAGGTTCAGTCCAGATTTTCATTGAATATGACCAGGAAGCAGGCAAAATCATTCATCTTCCTATCGTTGAAACCCTCCAGGCAGAGCTCACACCCTCTGAGGATGCCTGCCATGGATGCAGGTGAAACATCAGGAGAGAATGCTTCTAGAACATGGCCATAGAGCCCGAAAGACCTACAACAACCCAGTGATTCCAACCATGAAAGCCTCCGACAATACCTCTAGGCAGAATTCTTCACAGCCCAGGCATGAGAGCTGGCCCCCAAACCCAACGTGGTACCCTGTGGTGACTGATGGGGGAGGCAGCTCTGCCTCACCTGGGAGCCTCCTCCTCTGGAAGTCTGGCCAGGCCAAGTGGGGGGGGGGGTCTGGGGCTGTGCTGGGGGTCTGCTCCGCGGCCCCTCCCCGAGCCCAGGGGAAGGAAGGAAGGAAGGAAGGAAGGAAGGAAGGAAGGAAGGAAGGAAGGAAGGAAGGAAGGAAGGAAGGAAGGAAGGGTGGGTCCCGGCGCCTCGGGCTCACCTGTTCGCCTCCTCAGGGAAGAGGCAGCGGAGAGTGGAGGCGCCCAGCCGCGCCTGGCATCCTTCCCGGCCGAGTCTCCCGACGAGGCATCCAGGAGCGGCGCCGGCGCCTCCTCATCCGCGGACTGAGGGGGCAGGTAAAGGGGTGGGAGCAGGAGGGAGGCCGTACTGGAGATCGGGGGGCGGGGGGGGGCACGCCGAAGAGGCAGCCTCAGGGCATGGCGCTCCCCAGCACGACCAGCCCAAGAGGAGGCAGGGCTGGGGGCCAAGAAGGAGCAGGCAGGGAGCCAAGGGGAGGGGAAGGAGGAGAAGGGGGGGAGCGGGTGGGGTGGAGTGGGGGCACCCCCTTTTCCGGAGGGGCGAGGGGGAGAGCCTGTCACCAACTACTGAGGCTCCCACATGGCGCCTTGTGCTCCTGGAGCGGAGGAGGCGGGCAAGGGTCAGGGGACAGCCCAGGTCGGGCGCCCCGGGGAATCCGCAGACCCTCCTTCGCGCTCCCCGCGTCCTGCCCCTCCCTCCTCCTTCTCCTCTCTCTCTCTCTCTCGCTCTCTTTTGCCGCTTTGGCGGCGCTGCCAGCCTCCGCTCTCCCCTCCCGCCTCCCTCCCTCCCTCCCTCCCTCCGCTTCGCACGTGGCTATTAAGGAGAAGGGGGAGAGGGGAGGGGGACCCTGGCAGGAGCAGCCCGCCTTCCATTATTTATGCCGACAACAAATCCAAAACGGTCATTACACAGTGCAGCTGGGGAGGGGCGCACACACACAGATGGAAAGAGGGGGAGGCAAGGGGGAAAGCCCCCCCCTCCCCATGACTAACAGCTGCGGAGGGGAGGCGAGGAAAGGGGGGAGAGAGCCTTTCCCCTCAGCAAAGTTCACACCAAATTCAAAGACAGTTGTGGCGAGAGGAGGAGAGGGTTTGCCCCACCTTGGAGAGGGCGGACCAGCCAGGTCAACGTGCACTTCGGGTGCCTCCTTTCCCTCTGGCCTTAGGTGGGAAAGGGCGGCGGGGGGGGGGGAGATATGTTCTCCCTTGCAGAATGGGACTGACACCTTCCTTGGGAAGTAGCCCTCGAAGGGGCTGAAAGTCCTCTTCCTTCTCCTCCTTCTCCTCTTTCTCCTTCTCTTTCTTCTCCCTCTTCTCCTCCATCTCCCTTTCCTTCTTCTCCCCCCTCTCCTTCTCCTTCTTCTTCTTATCTTTTTCTCCTTCTTCTCCTTCTCCTCCTCCTTTTCCTTCTCCTTCTTTCTCCTCCTCCTCCTCCTTCTTTTGCTTCCCCTTTCTCCTTCTTCTCCTCCTTCTCTTTTTCCTCCTTCTCCTCCTCTTTTTCCTCCTCCTCCTTTTCTTTCTCCTTTTCCTTCTCCTCTTTCCCCTCCTCCTCCTCCTCCTCCTTTCCTTCTTTTCTTTCTTCTCCTCCTCCTCCATCCCCTCCTCCTTTTCCTTCTCTTCCTCCTCATTCTCCTTTCCTTCTCCTTCTCCTTCTCTTCCTTCTCCTCCTCCTCCTTGTTTCCGCCTGCCAGTCTGCCATTGAGTCGTGTGGGGAGTCGTCCACCCCTGCCCGGGGGCTCCACTTGTTGCAAAGGAGAGCTGGAGGGAGGGTTGGCAGGGGCGGGTTTGTTTGGGCAGCCAGCCACTGACTGGGAAGCTCAGTGGGGTTTATTTCGGAGTAGGCAGGTATAAGAAGTATTATATCGGGTTTGTTCCTGTTTTCTGGCGAAGGCCTGGTTCTTGAGTCCATTCAGAAAGGATGGCAGCAAAAGGGCAGTTGAAAGGCTTCGCTAGCGTGTATGAAAAGAGCTGACCTGGGGCGAGGGGCTCCTGTTCTGAGAGGGGCTCAGTGTCTCTGAAGGACAAGAAATGGCCCTTGTGTGGAAAGGAACGGAGCCAAAGCAGTCTCCCTCCATTATATAATGCAGAACAAAAAGAGCCCCCAGTGTTCGTGGCTGGGTTTTTCAGTCTCCAGATTCAGAGTTGAATCAAGCTGAACTGAGAAAAGGAGGCAGCCATGGTTTTCCAACCCAATCAAGCCAGACCTAATTAAGTTTTATTTTTAAGTCAGTGACACAAATGATTATTATATGTGGAATCAAACTAGGACAAGAAATACAAAGACCTGGATTCAGAATTAGAGCCTCTGTCTGTAAAATGATGAGTGAGGTCTTTTACTAATCTAAATCCAGTTTTCTTCACGATGATTATATTTTCAAAGATGTTATTGCAACCAATGATGTGGACAATCTTGTGAAATATAGAGTAGTCTCCTCCTCGATACTTTAGAGACCATTCGCTTTGCTGTAATTGTTCTAAAATCTGATGCACCATTTCCCATGTTATTTGCTATATGTTTTGTTGTAAAATGAAAATGAGAAGGTATGGGTCACTCACCAATTGGTCTGGGGCTTCCTTTTTCTCTGTAATGCTTAGTGGTAAGGTGCTTCCAGGTAACTTCTATGCAATAACACAGCTTCGTCTGCAAAAGTTTATGGAAGGTGCAGACACTGTCATCTTCAGTTTGGTAAGGTAAAGGTAAAGGCTTTCCCTGACATTAAGTCCAGTCATGTCCGACTCTGGGGGTGCTCATCTCCACTTCTAAGCCGAAGAGCTGGCGTTGTCCGTAGACACCTCCAAGGTCATGACTGCATGGAGCGCCATTTAGAGTCCTAGATTTCCCACTGTATCTCTTCACAAAATAAAGGGGGGGGGGAGCCACACAGTGCATTTGAACATTAGCACTGGGAGCTCTGTGTCTGATGGAGAAGCAGTGCTTGGACCCTGCTGCCATTGCCATCAAGGGCTGGAATATGCAGGGGCTGACAGCCCCAACTGCAAAGGGCTTCCTTCCCCCTCCCTTCCCTTCCCCTTCACCTCCCTTCCTTTCTCTCCTTCTTCCCTTCCCTTTCTTTCCTTCCTTCCCTTCCTCACCATGCAGACCCGTTCCCCTGCACCTTTCTTGCTTCCAGAACCCTTTTCTTGCATGGCAGGAGGGGGTTGGACTGGATGGCCCCTGGGTTTTCTATTATTTCTACTACTACTACTACTACTACTACTACTACTCTACTACTACTACTACTACTACAAAGCCTGGATAGCTATCTTTTGGGTGTGCTTGGATGGCCCCTGGAGTTGCTCCTCCTCCTCCTCCTCCTCCTCCTCTTCTTCTTTGGACTAGGTGGCCATCTGTTGAGGGTGCCTTAATTGTGCTTTTCCTCCGCAGAGCACACTTTGAGAACCGCTGATATAATATATAAACATTTCTTGGGGCTCCATGAGAAACTTTTCCTTCAAAAAGGGCTCCACAGCTGAAAAGGTTTGAGAACCCCTGGTGTAACTACATAATTTCAAGGATTAAAGTTGTCACTGAAACACCAAGTAGTGTAATATGTGGATGCATCTACACTGTAGTATCAATGTAGTTTGACATAATAGTTGAACAAGGTTTTTAGTCTTTTTTGCCAGGATGCTGGTGCTTCACTTAACTACAAATCCCTGGATTCCATTGCATTGAGCCATGGCAGTCAAAGTGTTGTCAAGCTGCATTCATTTTATAGTGTGCAGCCAGCCTGTGGGAGCTAAGAACAGGATAGCTGGTACTCCAAATGTTATTGAAATGTAACTTCCTCACCATAGGCTTGTTGACTAGGACTGATTAGGTTTGCAAACTACCAGTAACTGGAGCAGAGATAGAAAGGTAGGGAATTATTAATAAGCTAAAACATCTAATTCAACTGCATTTATATTAGAACGAGAAATATTTTTTTAAAAAGTTTATATTGAATTGCCATTAAATGTAATGCCTGCTTGAATGAATCTGGGAAATGTAATCTGTGATATGCAATTTTCCACTCCCTGCTTTCCTCTCATTCCTGTTTTGAACTTGGAAGAGAAGAATGCAGTTAAATTGGTTTTTAAAAAACAGCTTTTCATTCACTCCACCAAAAACCTTCTTTTAATTTTTCTTTGGCCTTCCTTATAATTTCATCTCATTGTACCTCTGCTACCTTTTTAACCAGAAATAGTCTCAAGATTGAGAGTTTCAGAATTCAGTTTTCTGGGGTAGATGAATTTTCTTCATGCAGTGCAGAACACAAACATGGCCAGAATAAATGGGTTGAAGTTTTTGAGCTGAACTTTGCAATTTCCCAAACCAACAGAAATATGAAGTAGTTTTGCAAAAATTCACGAGAACTTGATTTTAGGTCAGAATCCACTGGAAAATGTACAAATGTTGGCTCTCTAACGCTATCTCTAATGTATTTATAAATTCATTCTTGTTTTGTTCATTCGTTCAGTCACTTCCAACTCCGTAACCTCATTGACCAGCCCATACCAGAACTCCCTGTCGGCTGTCACCACCCCCAGCTCCTTCAAGGTCAAGCCAGTCACTTCAAGGATGCCATCCATCCATCTTGCCTTTGGTTGGCTCCTCTTCCTTTTTCCTTCCATTTTCCCCAGCATCATTATCTTCTCTAAGCTTTCCTGTCTTCTCATTATGTGGCCAAAATACTTCATCTTGGCCTCTACTATCCTTCCCTCCAATGAGCAGTTGGGCTTTATTTCCTGGAATATGGACTGGATAGATCTTCTCTCGGTCCAGAACACTCTCAGAACTTTCCTCCAACACCACAATTCAAAATCAAATTCATTCTGGAATTACATTAATACTGAAATTTCAGTTTATTTCAGTTGTTGGTTCACAGGCACTTTTTAAATTGGGAAGCTTCATTGTTCTAATACGCTGTCCCATTTGATTCAATTTTTTTAGCTGAGAACATCACGTGCTCTTGAGATATCCTGCCCTATATCACTTTAATTGCTATTTTGCTAGTATGGTATAGCATCTCATCTTAATTCTGTCTGTACCCAAGCCATCCCTCCTCCTGGCACTATTTTTGGGCCACCATATCACTGTTATGGTCTTGCACCATCGATTTCCGACTTGCATGATCGGCTGTCCAAATGAAGGATATCAATTTGCTTTGCAAATGGCAATGGACCCTAACCATCTGAGCTTCCTTTCTTGCAACATTTGCACACCCAAGTAACTTCCCAGGTTTTGAACTTTCTGGAGCAGCAGGTGAATGCATATTTAACCACAGCAGCAGTGGTGTGCATGGTGATGTCTGTTCCTCTGAGAAGTCTATTTTCTCCG